TATCTCTTCCTGGAAATGGTGCCGTTGACACAATTTTATGCAGGTATTCAATTGTCCCAGCTCCTAAGCTTTCAGTGTACCCGATGATTTTGGAGACAAAAACCTTCTACAGTAAGTGACAACTCTGGTAAGTCGCGTTAACGATGAATACTTGGTAAGTATACTACTCTCTGCTGTGGTGCTTGTAGTGGTGTAACATTTTAACTTTCTTTCTTCAATTGTAGTATCCGCAATCTCTCTTTTATAATCAATGTTTTTCTGTTTCAAGAACTCCGGGCCTTGCTTCCACATCTGGATAAGGTGGTTTAGCTCTTCTCTATACTTAAGCCAATCCTTCATCAGTGATGAAGGGAGTTCCTGATCCCAATCGATGCCCGACAGCCATAATCTTTGTATGAAAACCTTTGCTGTTATTATGGCTGGAGCTATCCATCCGAGAGGGTCAAACAATTTCGCGATGTCCGAAATAACTCTGCGCTTCGTTACAGGAGTTTCCAAAGGAGGAAGATTTACGGTGTACTCGAATTCGTCGGAGCTTCTATTCCAGGTAAGTCCTAGAATTTTACTAACCGTGTCTGTTTTAAGTTCCAGGTGTCCTCCGGTTGCTTGTCTATGGTCTTCCTGTATATGATCCAATAATTCGGAATTATTGGTAGACCATCGCTGAAGCTCGAATCCTCCACGACCAAGCAAGTTCTTCATTTCGTGGTAGATCTTAATACCTTCTTCGACATTCTGGCATCCTGTCATCAAATCGTCGACGTAGAAGTCCTTCAACACACGGTTTGACGCAAGAGGAAAATCAGCTCCCTCATCGTGTGCAATCTGCTGTAAGGATTTCACTGCCAAGTATGGTGCCGATGATGTGCCGAAGGTTACACGGAGAAGACGGAAATGCTGCAACTCATCTTCTGGGTTTTGACGCCATAGGATTCGTTGAAAATCAACATCCGTCTCAGACACCTTAACTTGCCTGTACATCTTAATGATGTCTGCAACGAGGCATATTGGAAACTGGCGCCAATTCATCAGGATGTGACGCAACTCAAGTTGAAGAGTTGGACCGACCAACAGATCCTGATTCAACGACGCACCATTGGTTCCCGTGCACGATGCATCGAAAACAACTCTCACTTTGGTGGTGATCTTGTCATTTCGCACTACTGCGTGATGTGGTAAATACACCGCATCCGTCTTTTCTTTATCCTCGACCTTCTCCATATGGCCGAGGTCCAAGTATTCCTTGATGACCTTGACATACTCTTTCTTCATGTCAGGGTCTCGTAAAAACCGCTTTTCTAAAATAAGAAATCTTTTCTGGGCAATTTGTTTCGAGTGACCATATTTGCATTTCGGATCCGGTGTGCGAAAGGGCAAGCTAACCACGTAACGACCAGATTCGTCTCTACGTGTCGTTTCCGCGAACAACTTTTCACACAACTGCTCTTCTTCCGTTAAATATTTTTTCTCAATATCGTATTGGTCGGACTCCAACTCCCAGAACTTCCGTAAGAGCTCACTCTCGTCTGAATGAGCTGAGTGCAAACTAACAACAACGTTATGACACGTTTCCAACTGGGCGCCTGCTTCTTCAACTTCACCAGAAAGGATCCAGCCAAATTTAGTATTCTGAGCAAGAGGGTAGCCCGGTGGACCCCTAATCAACCCTTGCAACAGAATTTGGCTGTAAACCTCGGCACCTAATAGAACATCTATTTTATTGGGTATGCCAAACGAAGGGTCAGCTAAAACTTCACAAGATAGTGAAGGCAACATCGGGACGACTATCTTCCTATCAGGCAAGAGAGACGTCACCTTGTTCATAACATACGCCTTGATAGATATGACAAAACTGGGGTCGTGGCGGGACTGAATTTTCATGGAGACCATGAACCTACAGGACAAAGATGCTTGTGGGTCACCGCCTAGACCTGAGACAACAGTTTTGATGGGATGTCTCTTTAATCCCAATAACTGGACCGCGGACTCCGAAATGAACGAAGCCTGAGACCCCTGGTCTAACAGGGATCTTAAACAAATCAAAGATCCAGTACTTGACTCTACATTTATCAAGGCCGTGGCCAAGAGTACGTGGGTACTTGCCTTGGCGAAACACGTCATAGCACGTGTGGACTCACCCGCTGAAGATGACGCTGCTTCTGATGCAACAACATCGCTACCAATAGGCTGACCTGGACTACTATTATCAGATCTCGGGATACTTTTAGGATGGAGAAGGGTGTGATGTCTTCTGCGACAAAGATGACATTTTGTGGATTGCCGGCAGGTGTACACAGAATGGCCTGTGTTCAAGCAATTAAAGCACAGTCCACTGGTTTGGGCGAAACTACGCCGATTGTCTACGTTTTCTTGAGCAAATCTCTTACAATTAAATACTTTGTGTCCCTTGTCAGTACAAAATATACAACTGGCATTGTGAGGTGCGGTCACATGCAATGCTGTGGCCTTTTTACTGTTACCTGGCTTATCAATAACATTTGAACCTAGGCACTCTAGTGCCCGAAACCTATTCTCTAAAAATGATCTAAATTGACTTAGTTCCGGCAATTTATTTGAACAATCGTTAATTAAATTTTCCCACAATTTGCGTGACTCTGGATCGAGTTTTTGGCTGACAATATAAATAACTAGTATGTCCCAGGAGGTAACGTCAACCCCTAAGTTCTCAAGTGCATGTAAACATTCGTTCGTTATGTCAAGTAATTCCTTAATGGCACTTGAAGACTCAACAGTGATGTTCCTTTGGTTCATGAATCTTTTTAAAATACAATTGGCCAAAAACTTTTTATTGTTATATCTACTTTCCAACTGGGCCCAACAGGTAGTATAATTATCGGCCGTGATAGGAATATGTCGCAACAATTGCTCGGCTTCACCTTGCAAATGGCTCTTTAGATAATGAAGTCGTTGCACATCGTCCAAACTTGGGTTATTGTGAATGAGAGACACAAACAGATCTCTAAAACTAGTCCACTCTACATACTTGCCCGAAAAAGTTGGGATGTCGATCTTCGGTAGGCGTACATAGGCGACTTTGGCTTCGCTTTTCGAAGATTGCGTTGTTAGCGTAGTCGCCCGCAAATTTGCCAAAGCTCCTTTTAATTTCGATTTGAATTCGATGTAAATCTCCTCAACTTCTTCGAAGCGATCTGATTTATAATAATCAGATGATTCGAACTCTGTGCCTTCCGATTCAAAAATAATCCTCTGATGACCCTCTTTAAACGATGTCCAACATTCCTCCAAATTATCTAAACGCGTTTCGACATTTGACAATGTTATCCTATCTTTTGACTGTTTGCCGAAATTTGTTTTGTTTTTAACTATTCTGGATTTAAGATCCTCCTGACATTTGAGCAAACGATCCATAATTAATATTAAATGTGAAGGAAAACTTAAACACAAAACACTAATACACAACACAAACAATAAAAAAAACAAATAACAAAATAAAACAATCAAAATCAAGTAGGTAAAAAACACTAAATCCAAAATCAAATGCAAAAATTTTACAAGTTTAAAAATTATTTAAAAATCACAAGTGTAACGGAATTATCAATTAAATTTTACAAGTCTAAATTTCAACAAAATTTTTCTAAGTCCCGTAATATAAAATAATCTAAGTCCAGTATTCAGTAAAATTTTCTAAGTGTTTGAAACGTTATAATTCTATATGAAATCGGGCATGGATTCCCCGTCTGAACACTTTTTCTTAAATTATTCTAAGTCCTAAACTACACTTGTAATATTTTTGCATGCATTAATTATTTATATTCAAATTAAACTAAGTAATTTTCTTCTAAGCAATAAGGTTCAAATTGTTCACTTCTAAATTATAAATATAAAGTACTCACAGTTTGCCTGGTAACACGGTAGCCGCAACACAACACACTCACACTAAGACACTTCACTGACGTACGACGCAGGTGATGGCGGACGAGGAGGTGCTCCCCCCGCTGCTCCAGTTGCACTGCTTCGGTGTTGTTAGTGCGGCCT